TCCCGCAGTGTAAATACTCCCCCACAACCGACTTCAAACTCCCCATGTTAGGCCACTGGACTTGGAGTTGTAAAGAGATGCTCCCGATTGGTACCCGTGAGCTGGGATCAGGCAGCACGCCCTCAGCAAGCCACCCCGCTCCACTTAAAAGTCATCTCCTCCCTCCCCACACCCCCTTCTGAAGCTGGCATGTGCAGTAGTGATTAAACGTGAGATATGGACGTGAGGCAGTGGACACAGGGCCAGCCCTCGACACAGCAAGGGTTCCTGGAGAGTCCCCCGCTCAGTGCAAATACCTGCTGAGGGTGTTGTCCAACCTCCGCTGCCTGCAGATTTGTTGGGGGAGGGAGGATGATGACTTGACCATGGTCTTTTAGCTCATCCATCCCTCCATCCACCCCTTCATCCATCCACCCACTCATCAATCCATTCATCCAACCCTCCACCCACCCCTTCATCCATCCACCCACTCATCAATCCATTCATCCATCCATCCAACCACTCCTTCATCTATTCATTCATCTGTCCATCCATCTTTCCATCCATCCACCCACCTATCCATCCATTCATTCATCTATCCCTCCACCCACCCCTTCATCCATCCACTCACCCATCAATCCATTCATCCATCCCTCCACCCAGCCCTTCACCCACCCCTTCATCCATCCACCCACCCATCCATTCATCCATCCATCATCTACCCATCCATCGATCCATCTTTCCATCCATCCACCCACCTATCCATCCATCCATTCATTCATCCACCCACCCATCCATCCATCCACCACCCATCCATGTCTACATCCATACATCCACCTACTCATGTGCATTGAGACTCTTCTGAGTACAACAGGATGCTGTGCTGAGCACAGGAATGTGGGAACAGAGTGACTGAAGGGCCTCCATTCTCTGGGAATTCATGGTCCCCTGGGGAGAGCCAGACACTTTCACAAGCTGCTCCAAAATGAGGCCATCTGCGAGCCCCATGGCCTGGCAGGGGACTCCTCATTGACTCTGACCCCAGCAGACCCATGAGGAAGAGGAAAAGGAATGGGACAGACGCCGCTGCCCAGCCCTCTGGGGCAGCACCCATTCACCTCATGCCCCCGCTTTTCCATTGAGCCTGGTCTGGGACTCTCCGCCAGGCTGCACGTGGGAATCTGCAGAAACACTGGGCCTGAGTCGCCCGGGTGCTGGGGTGGGGCCCTGTGCGGGCACTTGCCAGAGCTCCCAGGAGGCTGGACGTGCAGCCAGGCCTGAGAGCCACGTGCAGGGTCATGCCACCCACAGCACAGCAGAGGTGTTGCCCGTCGCCCAGGACCCAGCGGGTCACACCGACTGGCTTCCGCTCTGCACGGTAACCATTGCAAATGGAGAAACCTCTGCAGAGAGGACTAACGGTCACCCAGGGCCACCTGGCGGCCGAGGGGGCATTGGCACCCCTCCGTGTGCATTCCAGGGTCTAGACTCTGTCACTCTGCTGTGAACCATCCCATCCCCTGCAGGACCCTCCCTAGAAGGGCCACAGTTCTGCGTGATGGTGCAGACAGGTGGGTTTGGGAGCCAGGTGGCCCACGCGGCCCTCCCAGACCCTCCCCTGTGAGCCTGGCAAGCCACTTGGTCTCTGAACCTCAGCTTTATTAGCTGTGAAATGGGCAGATAACGGTGTCCCCTTGTGGGTTTGGAGGTGGATCTGATTCTGTCAGAACAGCGAGCACTGTGGGCTCAAATACGCTGTTTTTATTTTAGTGGCACAAATGTCCCTAAAATGTCCCCATCTTACAGGGGCCTCTCGTCCACCCCACACTCTCTCAGACCCTGGCACCCCCATCTCTGTGTTGGCCAGTTCCCATCTGCTGCCCTGTGAGCCCCCGCAGTGGGAGTGATTGGCAGCTGTGAGCAACCCCAGCTGGGCCCAGGGAGGGGGCCCTGGGGAGGCTGGAGGTGGGGTGAGGAGGACCCCACCCTTCCTCTGGCCTCGGGGGAGGTGGGAAGAGGGGAGCCGGGGAGCGGGCGCGCGTTAGCAAAGGCTCCAGCCAGCAGCAGCTGATCACCACTCCCTGCACCCTCCACGCTTCCTCTTCCCTCTCTTGCTCCCCTTTCCTGGTTTTGCCTCCGGCCATCCCGGGTGCTAGAAACTCCCCACCCCTGCCCTGCTGAGCACCTCGCCTCTCCCCTTCCCTCCTCCTCCATCCTGGACCCACTCCTTCCCACTGGACACCTTCCGACATGCATGATGGGTAACAGGGCTTCACCTGCTGCTTCGGAGCAATGAGTTGGGAACCCCCAATGAGTGTGCACATGTGCACATGTGTGTGTGTGTGTGTGTGTGTGTGTGTCCATCCCTGCTGTTGTTCAGGAGCACAAATGGCGCCCCAATTTCAGTCTCTGCAGAGAGAGGGAAGGGACCAGCTGGCTTTGCTGGGGGGGAGGGGAGGGGAGAGGGAGGAGGATGAGGAGGAAGATTTCTGCTCCCAGGCTCACTGCTCAGCAAGTCTGCTCTGGGTGGTGGGCACTGAGCCAGCCCCCACTGCAGAGCCCAGCGGGGGCTCACACAGGCCTCTGGGGCAGGGCTGGGCTGCCACCTCCACCCTCCCGGCTGGGCATGCCACCCCAGGTGCTGGCCCTGGACAGACAGTAGGACACAGGGCCCCGGCCCGAAGCACAGCACCCGCCTCGGACCATATGCTCACTCACCACTGCCCTGCGGTCACCAGGCCCCACGGAGCACTTAGCGCTGTGACAGTTGACTCGACGTGTGGGTGGTTGGGAGCAGGGGCTGTCAGTGTGGCCCCGGACAGAGCCCCGCCCTGCCCCTGGCACACCCCAGACGCCTGGTAAACAGTTGTTGGGTGAGTAGGTAGGAACCGAATGAAGGATTCAGAGAACAAGAGCAGGCACGTTCGGTGGAGCGAGTGCCGTCGCGGGAGCACCGGGCACTCAAGGGTCTCCTTGGCGGGGCAGGCGCCTCACCCGAGGCCCGGGAGCGAAGGCAGAGGCAGCCAGGTTGGCAGACAGGAGCCAGGCAGGGGGCTTTGTGGATGTGAAGGGAAGCAGGCAGCCCCTGCCTCGGGCCGCATTTAGTAGGTGCTCACTAAGGTCTGTGGTGGGAATGAGGTGTGTGTGGCTCCAGGCTGCAGCGGAGCCCTGGGCTGGAGAGGCGCAGGTGAGAGGAGGCTGCTGGCAGGTGAGCAGCCGCTTCCCCACCACGCACTCCTCTTCCCCGCAGCAAACCCAACATTCGACAAGGACCAGACTCCTGCCTGTCCCCGGGGCAGCCGTGAGTGTCGGGCCTGTCCACGTCTGTGCAGGGGTCCTCACGTGGGTGGCTGCTCCAGGCAGAGATGACACCTGTTGTTTCAGGTGACGGGACCTCTCCCCACCACAGACACCGAGGCGCGGGCGGGCGCCTCACCCTCTCAGAGGGCCTGTGCCCGGGGTGTGTTCACAGTGGAGGACGGGCAGTGAGCGAGGCTGGGACCCCCCCCCTCCCACCTGCACCTGCTCTTCGCCCTCCGACACTGGGAGAGATGCCTGTCCTCTTCTCTGGGGCGGAAGGACTTCCCGCCAGGGCTGCTGCTAATGCCCCGGCCAGCGGTTCCCACAGCACGCAGATTGCCGGGGACACCTGGGGTGGGGCCGAGACTTTGCGTCGCCAGCTGACAAGCTCCCGGGGGTGCTGATGCTGTACGTCCGGGCACCCCACTTTGAGAACCACAGCCCAGAGCACTGCTGAGCCCCCCAAGGGTCTGGGCTTCTAAAAAGCCCCTGGAAGTAGCTGGGGAGCACTTTCCCCTTCCCGGGCAGCAGGCCTTCTGGAAGGAAGGGACAGATCTTTGGGACATTTCAGGGAGCCTTGAGGCAGAGGCCAGAACCTTCCGGGCCTCACAGACACACCTCACAGTACCGCCACCTCCAGCATCCCCGCTGCAGGCTGCGGCTTCTCCACCCTGCTTCCCAACGAGGCAACCAAGCCGCGAAGACCTTGCCGGGCTGGGAGGGGTGGGCCGGCCGCGGCAGGGTGGAGGGCAGGACCCTCGTGCTGCGGAACGTCCCGTGTCCTGGCTGGACCGGCGTCAGCACCCTGGAGGCTATGGTTGTACAAGATGTCCCTGCTGGGGACTGGTGGAAGGTGCACGGGTCGCTCTGTGTCACTTCTTACAACAGCATGCGAGTCTACGGTTATCTCAAAATAAGATGATTAATTTTTAAAAATTAGGTAGGTTTAAAAAAAAAAAGCCTTAAGTTCTGTCCTCGGGTC